AACAAGAGGTTCTTCAAGTTTTGACTTCTGGGCTTAAAGCCTCTAAAGATTTTCCGGGAGGGCTCAAACCCCTCAAGGCATGTATCAGCAGAAACCAACAGAGCCCATCCATTTCTTTCCGTCATCTGTTCCTAATGGCAGAAGCTGTGGCTTTCAGGTTTGGATACAGCAGCGCACAGTTGGGTCAATATCATCTACTATAGAAGGAACCTCTTCCCTGAGTGCCAGCTAGAGACCACAGCTATGTTTGCCCATAATACTCCAATTCTCATGTTCATTCATTCATTACTTTATCAAGTAGTTATTGAGAACCTGCTATGTGTAGGACAATGCCCAGGTCTCCTGGCCTACATTCTGGAGGTAGAGAAACAGACAACACAGAAGTAAACACATGGTGGGGGGAAGGGGCTGACAACAAGGACTATAAAGAAAATGCAAGCCGGGCGCGGTGGCTCACGCCTGTAATCCTAGCACTCTGGGAGGCTGAGGCGGGCGGATTGCTCGAGGTCGGGAGTTCGAAACCAGCCTGAGCGAGACCCCGTCTCTACTAAAAATAGAAAGAAATTAATTGACCAACTAAAAGTATATATACAAAAAAATTAGCCGGGCATGGTGGTGCGTGCCTGTAGTCCCAGCTACTTGGGAGGCTGAGGCAGGAGGATCACTTGAGCCCAGGAGTTTGAGGTTGCTGTGAGCTAGGCTGACGCCATGGCACTCACTCTAGCCTGGGCAACAAAAGTGAGACTCTGTCTCAAAAAAAAAAAAAAAAAAAAAAAAAAAAAAAAAAAAAAAAAAAAAGAAAATGCAATGATGTGATGTGGTACACCTGAGTTACAGGGGCTGTATCACGAGTAGACAGGAACGGCAGAAGCAGAAGTTGCTGTGTTGCTCACCTTTTGACAGTCACTATTCTAAGTACTTCATGTATATTAACTCATTTACTCCTCCTCTTTTACAGATGAGCAAACTGATGCCCAGAGAAGTGAAGTAACTTGCCCTGTGTCACACAGCCAATAAGTAACGGAGCAGGAATGCAGGAGCAGGTGTTGGCACCACTGACCGCACGCTCACCTGCTACACCACATGCTGTTTCATGGAGCAGGTGAGGTTGGGCTTACCGGAAGGAGCTAGCCACTAGAAGCTCTGGGGAAGAATATTCTAGACAAGAGGATGACAAGGTCATTGCAGGCCTCTAGGCAAGTGATGGGCAAGGCATGGACCCGGCAGCAGCAAAAGATGCAGTGAGAATTGGTAGATTTGGGATGTTTTTGCTCTCTGGTGTCATTTCTTGTTTAAATGTCCACTGTTCCTGCTAAACTGGCAGCTGCACAAGAGCCAGGGCCTCATATAGGCCTTTTGTTTGCCTTGCATCCTAAATGCCTAGTACAATGTTTAGTTTATAGATTTCTTTAATAATTCATTTTAGATTAAGTAGTTGGTTAAATAATTAATGAATGAACATTGGGCCAGTCTAACATTGGTTTGAATCCCATATCCTTCACCTGTTAACTGTTCAACTTTGGGCAAGTTACTTAACCTCTCTGATCCTCCCTTTGATTTTATGTCCAATGGGGATAATCAGACAAGCCCAAAGTTGGGTGTGGAGAGGATTAAATGAGATAGCCTTTGCAAAGAGTCAATAGCAAGGCCACCACAGGCCAGGACCTGCAGAAATTTTGGGACCCAACTGTCTTTCCCTACTACGTATAACATCAGAGCTGTTCCTGTGACATGAACCCATTCATTGTAGAATCAAGAGTTGAAAGGGACTCTAAGCCCTTGTTACTCAAAGTGTGGTCCCAGGACCAGCCACACCAGCATCATGTGGGAGCTGTTAGCAATAAAGTTGGGGCTGGGCGTGGTGGGCCATGCCTATAACCCTGGCACTCTGGGAGGCTGAGGCAGGAGGATCATTTGAGGCTCGGAGTTCGAGACCAGTCTGAGCAAGAGCAAGACCCCATCTCTACAAAAAATAGAAAAAGTATCCAGGCATGGTGGCACGTGCCTATAGTCCCATCTACTTGGGAGGCTGAGGCTAGAGGATCACTTCATCTCAGGAGTTTGAGGTTGTAGTGAGCTATGATGATGCCACTGCACTCTAGTCCAGGCAACAGAGCAAGACCCTGTCAAAAAAAAAAAAAGAAAGAAAGAAAAGAAGGGAAAAAAAGAAAGGGAAGGAAGGAAGGAAGGAAGGAAGGAAGGAAGGAAGGAAGGAAGGAAGGAAGGAAGGAAGGAAGGAAGGAAGGAAGGAAGGGAGGGAGGGAGGGAAGAAACAAAACTCTGGCCCTACCCCAGACCCACTGAAGCAGAGTTTCTGAGGGAGAGATCTGGTTATCTGTATATTTAGGAAGCACTTCCTCCACCCCTTGGTGGTTATCATCATAAAGAAAGTTGGGATAGGTTGAGGCTGCTCTAGTCCAGGGTCCTGTGTTCTTTGTACTGTCCTAAATGCTTGCACCCCAACCCTCTACCTCCCTGGCGCTTGGTGCCTGGGCCTCCACACGTTGCTGCCGATCCATGAGCAGCCACTCAGACACCTGGCGCTCCCAGCTGGGCTTCCAAAGAATTGACAGCCCCTCATCAGATGCCCACCCTGGGCCAATCAGCTGGGTCTGCGGGGATCCAGTAGCATCACACACAAGGGGAGCCTGAGCCTGGCTGCTCACTGACCAGTGTCACAGAGCCCAGGGAGTAGTGCCTGCTCTCCTTTGCAATCCTCCTGGCCCACCTGCCATACCTGAGAAACTTCATGAAACAGGATTCTGACTGTGGAAGGCACCCTCCTTTTTGAACCATCAACCACATAAAGAACCCCTAGAGAGAGAAGTATGAGAGAGGACAAATTCTTCCTCATCTACTAAACATTTTCCAGGCATGTCTATGTCCATTTATCATCTCTGAACCCAGGGTGTCATAGAAGTTTATTTATTTTTTATTGATAATATATGATCCAACCTTTTGGAAACTAAATTTTCTTCTCAATTGGTGTAGCAGTCAGTTTTGGCAATGAACCTGCTTTTCGTTGCCGGTGACTGTACCCATATGGTATTGTTAGGAGAGCCAAAATAAGAACATCATGCATACCTCTCTGTAATGTCTCTGCTTTGCACCTCAATACACCTGCTTGAAAACATTATCTAGAGACCATTTGTATTGGTATGATAAACTAAGTGACTGTGCTAAAATGTAACTTCCATAATGGCAGCAATCCCATCTGCTATGACCACCCTGCCTGTCACAAAGTGTCCATTCAATACATATATTTCTCAATAAATGCCACAAAGCATAGAGGTGCAAACGGCCTTTACAAATATGCTCATCATGAATGTCTTTTACTAAAAAGTCCCCAAACAATAAATCTTGGCATGGATGCAGAGAGACAGGAACACTCATATCCTGATGGTGGGACTACAAACTAGTACAACCTTTATGAAAAGTAATATGGAGATACCTTGAAGAACTAAAAGTAGAACTACCATTTGATCCAGCAGTCCCTCTTCTGGGTATGTACCCAAAGAAAAAAGACATTCTATAAAATAGACACCTGCACTTGAATGTTTGTAGCAGCACAATTCACAATTGCAAAGAGGTGGAAACAACCGAAGTGCCCATCAATACATGAGTGGATTAATAAAATGTGAATGGTGAACTAATACCTCCTGTATTAACCTTAATGGAACTGGAGCCTGTTCTTCTAAGTGAAGTGTCACAGAATGGAAAAACAAACACCATATGTACTCACCATTAAATTGGAACTAACTGATCAACACTTATGTGCACATATGGAAATAACATTCATCAGAAATCACACAGGTGGGAGGGGGCGGGGCAGGGTAAATTCACACCTAACGGGTACAATGCACACTATCTTGTGACTCAAATGGTACAAAAGCAATTTATGTAACCAAAATGTTTGTACCCCTGCAATATTCTGAAATTTAAAAAAAAAAAGATACTCATCATGATGAAAGTTGGCGGCCACATCTCAGTTCATGTGTTAGTGTGTATTTTGCTAGGGCTGACTTTTGTGCTGTTACATCGAACTAGAGAAAATCTATTTCCCAGGCCAAGTTCAAACTTGCTGCCATCTACTGGCCAGTGCTTACCTGCACACATTTAAACTACCCACATGAAACACAGAACATTTGCAGAAAATTACAGAAACATAAAGACTTGATAGTAGTATTCCATTTTCAAAAGTATTAATAAAAACTACTGTTTTTGGCTTAATAGTGTTTTTAAAGCTTAGATTATAAATTAGAGCTTAATGAAATTTCTGATCAATAAATTATGTTATATTCTCATTTGATGGATGTGTTGTTTCTGCTGGGTTTTATGGCTACTTCTTCACAGGCTGTGAGTCTGGGAACAATCAAACTGGGTCTGAAAAATGGAGAAGGCCTCCTGAAGATGTTCTGGCCCAGAATGGAGAGATTCAAAAAAGCCTGGCAGGTGGGGCTGCCCACTAAGCAGGATATGCCAGAAGTCCACCTTCCACTCTCCCCACCAAAAAACGTGTGTGTGTGTGTGTGTGTGTGTGTGTGTTTACCATACTGTTTTTTTTTTTTTTTTTTTTTTAGTGTCTGCAATTGTCATGGGGGTGCTTGCAGAGGAAAACAACAGTTCCCTTCACACTGCCCCCCACAGCTGCATATCAAAGGAAAGTCTGATCCAGTAAGCTCAACTGCAGCAGGAAGAGAACACACAGACTCACAGGTGCACACACAGAGTTTTAATTTCAAAGATTCTTCCAAGACTCAGTGTGGCTCAGCAATGGTTATGAAGAAGTTGATGGTCCTGGAATGGGCCTTAATTTTTGTATGCTCAGAGTCTAGCTGGTGATTCTTTAAAGCTGCCATTGCCTCACAGAATCACAGAAAGCCCACTCTGGGCAGGGGCAGGGGCAGGCAGACTATTTGTAGTCCAAGAAATGTTCTCTCTCCTTGAAAGTGGATTGAGAGTTTCTGAGAAGCAATGTTTGTCCTTGAGAACAGGTGTGTGTGTGTGTGTGTTTGATTTAATAGTTGCCCCTTGAACAACGTCTCGGCCCAGAGTGACCTGCTGGGAAGTCCCCATAGAACTCATTCATTCTACATATTCATCCAATAAATATTTATGGGGCTTTTTTTCCCCATCACAGTGAAGAAGTCAGACAATGTTTGCCTTCTCTTGGGTCTTGCTTTCTGGTTGGAGAGAAAGGGAATTATCAGAAAATATGCAAATGCAGGAACAATAAGTGCTACATAGGAAAAAAAAACAGGGAATGAGACAAAGAATGAATGAGCTGGGGGCTGGAAGAGAGAGAATTATTAGGGTGGTCACCTCTGAGAGATGACATTCGAGCAGACACCTGAACGAAGCAAGGGGACAGCCACGCACACATCCTGGGAAGAGCAATTCAGGCAGAAGGAACAGTCGGTACGAAGGCTCCGGCATGGTCAAGGAACCAGAGGAAAGCACTTCACACACACGACCTCAATTTATCTCCTAAAAAATAAATACTGTTATTATCCCTATTTTAAAGATAAAGAAGTAGAAATTCAGAGAGATTAAGTAACTTGTTCAAGGTCATCCTACAGGCAAATGGCAGAGCCCCCAAGGAACCCAAGCAGTTAAAGATGCTAGTTGATATGGTAAGTAACAAGTACCAGGTATTACCTGGAAGAGTTGGGTGGAGGGGCGGGGAGCAGATCCCAGAACCAAACCAGTTTTTGTGGATAAAGGGTGTCTTTCCTTCCAACTGCGGAAACTAAGGGGAGAGAATCTTTCAGAAGAGGGGGTACCAGCTGACAAGGAAGATGAGGACCTGGAGTGTGCCTGTATGGGTCCCCAGTGAGGAGTGCGAGTGCATGTGTGTGTGTTTTCTGTTGGACTATAGGGACGGTCACACTTAGCATATCAGTTTAAATTCCTGCCCACCAGAGACCCATGCGCCCTAATTATCCACCCCTGTGTGGGGTCCGAGGGCTTTGCGCAGCTCCGTGGGGCACTGTCGTGGCGGGCTGGAGCCTCCTTGAGCCGGTGACAAGGTGGTCACGGGCGGGTGTGGTTCTGGGGTTCCAGACAGAGGGTGAAGGGAAAGAGGGTCACGGCCGGGAAGGACGGGCACCCGCGGTGAACGTGAGACAAAGCCTTCCTTGCCCTAGTGTCCCAAACAAGGGGGCAGGGCGGGCGGGGAGGAGCCGCACGCTGTCCTCGCGGCACCCGGCCCAGGCGGCAGGCGGCGGGCGCTCACGCAACAGCTGTCACGTGGACCTGTCTGTCGCAATCTCCGGTCGAAAGGGCAGCACATTTCTGGTTCGAGCCAAGAAACTGTATTCACTTGGTAATGGTAGGTCTGGGAACTGCATTTGGCTTTTCACCCAACTAGGCATGGGGCTGCGTTGGTGACTCGGGGTCTCCGCGCCCGAGCTCAGGCTGGCGGGACGCGGGACTGACTGTCCACCAAGCGCAGCGCCCCCACCCGCGCCTTCCGCTCGCCCGCAGGAGGAAAGACGCGGCCAATGGGGCTGCCGACGGCCTGGGCATCGCTCTGATTGGACCAGCTTAGTCACGTTACCAGCCCTGACCCAATCACGACGGTCTGGCAAATGCAGTGTTTTCATTGGCTTGGACCTGGGTCATGTGCTCCACCCCAGCCCCACACTAGCCACGAAGGAGGGCAGGGGGCAGGGAGGGGGGACCTGGATCCGCAGCGAAGCGCGGGAGGGTTGAGTGTAAAGAAGGAGGGAAGGATGCTGGGCGAAATACAAATGACCTGGACCGTCACAGACGCGGAGATGGTGATAATAGCAGTGGCAATGGCAAGCATTTGCAGAGGGCTGGTGTCTGCCAGGCACTCTTCTAAGCACTTCGCGGATGTTAGTGCAGTCCTCGTTACAATCCTGTGGAAAGGCGGTGTCATGAGACCCCACTTTACGGAGGAAGAAGCACAGAGAAGTTAAATAACTTGCCCAAGTTTACAGAATCCAAAAAAAGGCAGGGCCAGGAATCAAACCCAAGCATGCAGACACACAGTCTGTGTTCCTCACTACAGCATGTGTAAGATCTGCAGAAGTCCGAGGGAAAACTAGTGCACGGCCTCCCGCACCTGACACCCAGCGCCAGGCAGAGCCCTGACACGGGGGTGCTCACTAAATACTTGTCAAATCAAAAGGTAAAACACTGGTTTCACCCATGTGCATTTAATAGTCTCAGATGGCAAATGATTTGATTTCTAGGAAAGTACTCTCTAGTGCTTCTATATTCTCCCCAGGCTGGAGGTTCATAGCGGGTGCTCACAATCTTATTTTTAGGGAAAAAAGAGTAAGTGATGGTGATTGGAAAAAATATCCACTCCTCCCCACCTCAGGGAGGATTCTTATTCTTTCATCTACCTTAAATATTTACCCTGGGCAGCAGTCCAGAAACTACTTTTCTGGCTAATCTCAATCACGGTTCCCGCCTCTCCTTTTCTGGGAAAGCAGGAAAGCTTCCTTAGGCGACCAAATCTATGTTCCTTGTCACACACTGGACAGGGGCTGCCAGATGCCCCGTGCTGTAGACTTGCAGAGCTAAGTGGGCACCTCCCAACTGAGTGCAGAGGAGGGCCCTGGGTCCTGAGGACTGCAGAGACGGGGAAAGCACTGTGGCTTTCTGGCACCAGCCCTCCCCTGGCCAGGGTGTCCACTGGGCACCAGGTGGGCAATGCCCAGGCTTGGAATTAGAAGCTGTGCTGGTTTGTACTTTCCCATTAAGTAAACCCTGTGCAGGGCCTGAGCTGTACTGCCAAGGGTGAGAGTAATACATGCAGCATTCATTCATTCATTCATTCACTCATTCCCTTATTCATAATTTCACTGATACTTATTTGAGCACTTACCAAGTACAAGTCACTCTTTCAAGTCACGCTGGGAATTTGAAAAGAGAAGGACCAAGATTCTTCCCCCATAAGATACCTGCTCATTCTCATATGAAGCTGAGACTTTCTCTCAGGCATTAACCAAATAATCACATGCATAACTGAATGGACAGGGAGTTAAGAGCATCTGATGAAAGAGCTGGTAGAGTTTGGGTGGCAGTGGGGTTGGGGGTGGCAGCAAAGGGCTTGCAACAGGAGTAACATCAGTGACAAGCTCAGTAGAGTACGGGGAGTTCAAGGTGAGGTGGGTTGAGGGGAAAGGCATTCAGGTGTAGGGGAGAGACAGGGCAGACCCTGGGGCTGGGAGGGAGCCCAGACAGTGGAGAAGAGGAGTTGCGGGAGGCTGGAGGTATGGGGGAGGAAGGAGCGAGGAGGAGGAGGCCTGACAAGCAGGGGCCTGGCCCTGTGGGACTTTATAGGACTTGTTGGGAACTTTGTCTTTCAAGCTAGAACATTGACAATGCAGTAAAGGGTAACCAGTATAGGAAAAAGAGTTGGGATGTGTTTTTTTATTTTAGAAGATCTCATTGGCTTGTGTAGACAATCCAAGTGGACAAGGGGAGAACTGTTAAGAGGCCACTGTAGAAATCCATGCAGGAAATGATGGAGGCCTGGACAAGAGCAATGGCCTTGGGGAAGGATAGCAACGGATAGAGGCAAGAAATGTTTAGGACGCAAGTAAACACGATGGCTCTGTGACCACAGCAGATCCAGAAATGTGTTATCTGCTTACTTCCCTCCCACCCAGGCCAATCGTAAGACTGTCGTAGGCCCCAGGCACTTGCACTTCCCAGAGGCCACTCCCTGCATTCGTATAAAACACCTATATCCCCCATTAAATATAGTTTTGTTTGTAAATAAAAAAAAATCAAAAGGATTTCTATAATTTTGCCTTTCAAATTATTTAGCTACATGTATATTTTAAACATTTAACTTACAAATGGTTATAGTTTCTTGGCAATCTGTAGGCATACCCCCAAATCCTAAGCCAGTGAGAAAATCTAACCTACGAATTGTTTTCAAATATAATGGAAATCTTTGAGTGTTGCATTGGACAATTAATAAAGCCAAACAAAGTAACATTTTGTAAACAGTTTGCAAAAGGCACCCCTTGTGCCTTGCCTCCCCTCCTCTCTGGCCACTTCTTTCCTCCGGACTTCTCTGTGGGGACTAGCTGGCGCAGGTGTGACCCGACTACACCTGGCCTCCTTGGCACTATCCATGTCTCACTTTCTGCCCTCGGGTTTTTCGGCTGCATCTTTTGCAAAACCGAAATGTGAGGGAATTAACACCCCCACGAGGAATCCCTTGAGCAGTGAGGGACAGATGGGTGGATAAGGGCTGCCCTCTTCCATTCCTCATGGGGTCAGTTCTAGTGGCTCCCATTATTCTTGGCTCCCATGATGGTTCCCAGTGGGGTTGACCCCAGTTGCCCACAGGAGTGACCAGCTTGATAATGCACCTTTATGTAGGCTTTCTCCTTCCTTTCTACACTGCTCCCAGTCTCCCACTGTGTTTCTTAGGAATTTCTTATCATTTCCCAAGATAAACTGCCTTGAAGCAGTTGTCTCAGGCTCTGGTTTTTGAGGGAAACCAGGTTAAGACCATTGGTATCAATGCGTCTAAAAAGCAGAAACTGTAGGTGAGATTAGGGAATCTTGGTGACAGGTTCATTTCCCCAGATCTCCTTTACCGTGGAAGTGGTTGCAATGTGTCGTTTCTGGAATTGACACACCAGATGTGTTTGCTTTTGCTGCTGCAGTACCGCTGTCAGCACAACTACCCAGGACACGGGATCCTGAATGTCACTGCTTCGGAGTAAGGGATCCCACACACGGCCCCAATGTAGGCCTTTGACACTACTTCCAAATAAGGCAATATGCTGTCATTGTTTTCATTCTGGGTGTGGCAAAAGTGTTGATTTGTTAAACACTGATAGTTAAAATGTACCACAGTTTTTGAGAAACCTGTTTTGGCATTCCTTCACTTTAAAAAAAAAAAAATTCGGTTTATTGAGATATCATTTACATCTAGTAAAATTAAATCATTTAAGTTTTTAATTCTATGGGTTAGACACACATATATAGTTGTGTCATCATGACCACATTCAAGATATGGAATATTTCCTTTACCCCAAAAAGTTCCCTGGAGGCGCTTTGTACTCAATCCTCTCCCCACCCCTGTCCCTGGCAACCACTGCCTGATGCCGGACCCTAAAGCTTTGCCTTTTCTAGGTCATATGATGGAATCACAGAATTTATAGCCTGGAGTGGGGGTGGGGGGTTCGCTAAACTCAGTGCACTTGAGATCAATCCAGTAGCTGCATTTATTAGATCATTAAATATGAAATGTCCGATTTCAGATCAAAACTGTAGTTTATTATATCTCTGGCCGGGCGCAGTGGCTCATGCCTGTAATCCTAGCACTCTGGGAGGCTGAGGCGGGCGGCGGATTGCTCAAGGTCCGGAGTTCAAAACCAGCCTGAGCAAGAGCAAGACCCCATCTCTACTATAAATACAAAGAAATTAATTGGCCAACTAATATATATAGAAAAAATTAGCCGGGCATGGTGGCGCATGCCTGTAGTCCCAGCTACTCGGGAGGCTGAGGCAGTAGGATTGCTTGAGCCCAGGAGTTTGAGGTTGCTGTGAGCTAGGCTGATGCCACGGCACTCACTCTAGCCTGGGCAACAAAGCGAGACTCTGTCTCAAAAAAAAAAACAACAAAAAACCACTGTAGTTTATTATATCTCAAACAAGAAGCAGTACAATTAATCAAAGTATGTGCTTAAATGATCCACACAAGTTTGCCATCTTAACAGTAGCTTGTTAATGCACCAGCGAAGAAGCCTGGAGAGAGAGTGGCGAAACTGTGAAAGGCATTTTCCACGGCTTGTTGAGAACTGAATATTTTTCCTTGTAAGAAGTGGTCCAAAGCAAGAATTGGTAGTGAGTTGTGCAAGGTCTGGTGAATACAGTGGATGACAGAGAGTTTCCAAGTCCAGCTTCTGCCGTCTGAGCAGCATTGTTTGTGTGACATGTGGTCAAGCGTTGTCTTGCAAGAGGACTGTTTCTACTGAGCGATCTCGCCTGCTTAATGGCAAACATCCTCATCATTTCATCCAGTTGGGTGCAGTGGACATCCACTGTAATCAGTGGACCAGGTTTCACGAAGCTGTAGTGGAGAATACCAGCGCTGAACCACCAAACGGACACCATTAGCTTTTCTGGGTGAATATTTGGTTTTGAACTGTATTTCTGAACTTCATTGTCATTATCCAACCATTGCACCGAATGCTTGTGATTGTTAAAAGGAATT